TTATTATTGCAGACATACTACATTTTTATGGTATCTTTTTAACTCAATGCTGTTGTCTCTGACAAGGACGGCAGGAAAAACTAATTGTCGAATCTCAACTTGAAATATTGTATAGAGACAGATCTTAATGAGACTAGTTTTTGTGAATGTTTCAATTCTTGTCGTTGTTCTCCTCCTAAGATGTGATATTCTTATTTACCAAACAAATTTCGAAAATCCATTTTCCTAGTGTTCCTGAGGAGAACCACGGCATTGGATTTTAAAAAATTCCCATAAAATGTAGTATCTCCGGAGCAATAAGCGAAAGGCTCAAACTCTTTTCAGGATATTCGTAGCTCACTAGAATCAACATGATGTACATAGTCTCGATTCAAAAGCAACTAATCAGTTGGGAGGCTTCCCTCATTAGCCATGAAATAAGTAAATATATAATGATCTTACAATGGAGGAATATGAATTAGTTCAATAGAGGATGTAACTCGAAGGAAAAGCATATTTTAATCTTGTCAATCGCTAATGTTTTTTTTTATCATATCAGATGTCTTATATCGTTGAGATCTTGATAACCTGGTCCTTTAATCCTTTGATTTAATCATATTTTCGCTGTAGAAAGAGTTAGTTTTTACTATTACTAGAACGCATAAGCAACAAATTACTTCTTTGATTCTCTATGTAATAGACCTTGGTGAAAAAAATACTCCGAAATAGAGTGTTTCTTTTATGTTGAATCCCGAAAAAAACGTATTCATTATAATCATTGTAACAAATAATGTAGCGCCGTCAATGTTCTATGTTTAAAAAAGTGAATCATAAAGTTCAGTAATATATTCAAGGAATTAGTTTAGAATTAATTTAAAGAAATCGACATATATGTTTTCCGAAAGAAAACTAATCAAGCGTTTTTTTTTGTGTGATTTAGGAAATAACAATGAAACATCCAATAACTGGACTCGATCATTCGCCAATGGTTTGTCCACATCATCATGTTTCATCATCGACAAATACTGGTCAATGTATGCAATGTGATAAACAACGATTAAATAGTACCGGTATGAATTTTAATTTAATATAATTCTCTTTTACACATATTATTATTTCTAGTATCAATACCTGGTCAACATACAAAAACAAATACAATGATTCGTGTAAGCAATTTTTTTCAAGTTGATGCTATTACAATTCGTAAAGAAGATCTTAAAACACAAGAATTTGTGCTTTCAGTAAGTTATATAAATATCTAAAAAACAAATGAAACCATATATATATTTGTCTTTTACTTTCAAATAGATTTCATCTGCATCGATTCCACTTAAAAATAGATTACATGTTAAATTACAACGTTTATCCGAATTAAAAATTCGCAAAGCTGGCTATTTGGTATATATTTTCAATAAAAAAAAACAAACTTAATATATATTTTTTATTTCTATGTATTTTGTTTTTTTTTTCTTTCTCTAGACAATCTATTGTGATATTAATGGTTCAGGTGTATGGATTCGAAGATGGTTTACTTTAACAAATGAACAAAATCTTCGATATTGGCCATCACCAGATGATGAAGAAGCGAATGTGGTAAAATGGCAAAAAAAAAATAGAATTATTATACGATTAAATATATATTATTTTCTTTTTTAAGCCACCTATTGGTGAAATTGATCTACATTATTGTATTGATCAAACAGTTAATTTATTACAACGCGAAACATGTGCTCGACCTCATACATTTGAATTACGTATTGCTATTCCAACAAAAAAATCAACTGATCATAAATTATTTGTTGATGAAAATGAAGAATATATATGTAATTCTATAATTGCACAACCATTTGGTAAACGAACATTATTTCGATATTGGTTAAGTGCTGATTCAAAAGAAGATCGTAATGATTGGTGTAATATAGTTAATCAGATCTTAGCTGATTTACGTGAATGGGAAGTTAATTTATAAACTGATCTAAATTTTCTATGTAAATAAATAACTTTATTCATAGAGATCAGTATTTAATTGATTATTTTCTTTTTATTTGTTATTATTACGATTATATATATATATATATACATACAAATTAAACGTTTCGTGTGTGTTTTGTCCTGTTTATCTATATGCGCATATATTTATACATTTGTCGATCTGTAAAATGACGAGAATTTCTTTTTTCTTTATTTTTGTCTGTATTGTGAAACTGTTTATATATTGTAGAAAGAAAAACTAATGCATAGACGAAAACTCTTGATTGAATACACGGATTTTTACATGTTTGAAAGTAAGGATAAATGTTGTTTTTTTGGATGTTTATCGATAAATTTTTGTTATAACCAAGAATGATTTGGACACCAATTTAAAAATATCTATTAGATGAAAAATAGCATGAAGTTAATAACATTTTTTATATTAAATTATTGTCGGTTGTATAAAAGAAATAATTCTTGTATTGAAAAAACTTCAAAAGTAATCGTGATCACTTCGTTCTTTGTTAGCATTTACATTTTAGTCAGAAATATCAGAAATATGACTCAAAATTTCTTGATATAAGAAAAAATCTATTAACGAAGGAAGTCAATCGAACTGATAATTTCCTTTTGAGCTCATAGGTAGGGTTCACTGTGTAGATAAAAATTCTAAAAGGGTTGGTGCCATTGGGCCTTTCTTCTCGAGTTATGGTCATTTTACTGAACTTCCAGCTTATTGCAGAATATTGCGAGAAAAATCGCAACATGGTGTTTCAGTCTGAAATTTTCCTCAAGAATAGCTCTTACAGTCCTTATGATATCCTGAAAGTTGCAGCTCAAACAGATGTTTCGCTTTTGAGATAATACATTTACAAAAAACATCACTTTCACACAAGAACTTCAAAAATAGTTCAATTTTTAAGCATACGATATTTTAGGAAGAGAAATCATCTGTTTGAGCTGAAACTTTCAGAATGTCATAAGGACCATAAGAACTATTGTTGGAGAGAATTTCAGACCGAAGCACATTGTTGTGAATTTTCTCGTGATACACTGCAATAGGCTGAAAGTTCAATAAAATGATTATAACTCAAGAAGAAAGGCATAATGGCATGAACGTCTTCATGACTTTTATCCACCGTATGAGTCCTGCCTGTCAGCAACATATGAGCTCAATAGGAGGTTATCAGTCAAATTGATTCCCTCGTAAGTTATTCGAATTTTTAAATTCTTATACGGATCATGTGCTATGTTCATGAGCCAAGTTTACAAATAGTTCAACACGTACGCTTGTACAATATTTTTTGCATATGTGTCCTTAGTCTATTTACATTTTGTAAACAACTAATGGCTTTTACTTCATAGGTATTATGATTTCTAATATAATGTCAATTAATCTTTAAAAAAAATGTAAACCTCGAGTCTTAAATAATGGTTTTTATCATATAACCGTTTATCGGATCGATGTGAACTAGTCGGTTTTTTGAAAGAGAAAAGCCTGGAGAATGAAAAATGTCAAATAATTAAAGTTTTTACTTTCGCTTTATTATAACGAAAGTCAATCACTGAGCAAGACTCATTATGTTTTTGCAACTTAACTTTTCGATGTTTTCAGTCACTGACTTCTTGATTTCGCCGGTCTCAAACTTTAAGTTAAACTTATCCACAAATAGAGCTTTTCAATCTCTCTCATTCCATATATTTAGAAATTTAGTTTTTGCTACATTGTCGATTAGAAAGTTTTCTCTTATAATGTTCCCTTCGCTACGAAACCAATTTGATAAAAATTGTGAAATAGAAGAAAATAGTGAGTCTATAAAAGGTCTGAAAAGTAAATAGAGATTCTTCGAAATTTATGTCTTACGAGGGAACATTCCTAAATGTTAATCGCAGATTCAAATGGAAGTTATCCCCGGCAATGAAACTCGATTAGCTAGTCATGATGGCATTAAACATTTTCTCTCATACTATTTTGTTATAGAGTTTTCAGGTCGAATTAATCCTATAGAACATCATATATAGGAATAGACCGAGCACGTTTATTTTCAAAAAGTTGGAGAGACACAAATCTTTTCATTAGTGGAAATGATAGATGTTAAAAAATGCTCGAAACAAATAATATACGGACAATGCCTACAGCGAATGAATAGGTAATCATTGAAGTTGTATATCGAACATTGCTCCGTCTTGAAAATGAAGCAAACCTCGATCACATTCGAAAACAATTGATATGTTGGCTGAATACAGCCACAAGCTGACCAGGAGTATGAAATCATTGCTACAAAAACATCGGCACAAAGTCAATTGTGGACATTTGCAACCATTTTGTTGTTGGCTGTATGCACTCTCTGCTAGAAATTTGAACGTGTTCTTAGTTCAAAAGAATACATTCCTAATTTTATTAAAACATATCATCATTCAGACTTTTCCTATGATGAGTAAATTCTATAACTAACAACACATTTCTTTCTTTTATTCTAAACAAACCTAGAAAAATATATAAAACATTAGATAACATGTATTCTACAACTTTTTTAGAAGCCTATTTGTCAACAAATAACGTTTTACTTCTAATGAATGTGAAATTAATTGTTAAGCTCATAACATATTCCACTGCGAACAGTGTACATTTCAATCAGTTTTATATATACAAAATACGAAAACAGCAGAATTTATCGTTCGTTCAGATTACAAAATCGAATGTTTTTTTTGCATAAGTTTCATGAAACATAAAAAAACTTGCAAAAAGTTACTCTCACTAGAGTTTACTGATAAAAAAATTTCTTCATCCAATTAGTTTCGCTAATAACCATATATTTATTGATTCTTTTATTTTTTGTTGATGTTCATCAAAACTAATAAACATGTATGATAATCATCTAGATTCAAAAAATCTTTTGCTCAATATGAAACAAAATATTAATAGACTAAGAACAATACAGTGTTGCCTATCTTATTATTGTTATCATATATTGATTCATGTCTATTAAGTGGTCATTCAGATATATTATTAAATTTTATGTTAATTAAAAACTAATTTTAATATAACTTTATATAAGAACTTCTAATCTGTGAAAATTAATGCCACTGTTTCTTGATATAACTAATGTGTCTAAGCCAAATAAGACAACATGACAAGGAATCGAATCGTATGTAATCATTGTCTTCAAATTTCCATCTTCTGTGATATGTAATAGACGTCGATTCTGATAATCAGCCACTAACCATTCATTAGAATTAATCGAACAACAACGAAATGGTTTATTTTGACAACATACAATATCAAGTTGAAGTGACCAGATATGTTGAAGTGTTTTAGATGATCTTAATTCCATACGTACAGACTTCTGAAGTTTATTTGTAATCATCAAGGCAAGTTTAAAGTTATCATAAACAATATTATCGATGTATTCATTCTTATTGCATGTATAAGGAGATTTCCATTTATTGACTAATTTGATTGAAGGTAGAAGATTAAATTCCATAATTGATGAACTTATCTCATCTAATGATAAAAAAAGAGATGTATCAGAACATGTACAAGAAAACCATATTTGTTTTTCAATCATTTGTAAATTTTCAATAGACATTGTTTGATCATTAACAAGATAGATTTTACTTTTTTCAATTATAAGAAATCGATCTAATGTTGATGACCAACATATATTCGAAATTGTTTTATAAGGCCATAGAACTTGATTGATTATATTTAATTGTTTATCAATTAAAATTAAGTTTGGTACTAGATATATCAACATAAATTTATCATTACAAGCTAATGTTCCATAACTTCCATGAGGATGGTTGATTGTTTTATAAATAGTTGATAGAGTCGATAGATTAAACTTATGCACGTTTATATTGTCGATATTAATTACATTGTCATCTATTGGTAATGGATGAATATTCATCTGATTGTTTATTTGTTTAAAATTGTTTATTTCTGTTCGAAGATTATCGATAATCGGTATTAATGAATACAATTCTTCATCATATATTTCCTGTTTATGATTGTATTCAGTCATTTTCGATTGTAAACGACGTATTTCCATTCGTTGATGATCGAATTTCTCGTCGATAAATCGATGAAATTCATGAAATTTTCGTTCAAAAAATTGATCAATCTTATGATAAGATTCCATACGCCATTGTTCAAGTTTTTGACGACAATTTTCAACTAAAGGTTGAATATTCAATGTCTTAATTTCATGATCAAGTTTATTGATTTCATCATTCAACAAATTTAATTTATTATTGTTTGAATCATTATGTTCAATTAAATGATGAATACAATAATTTTTTTGACAACAATAACACAAAACACATGATTTGTTATTACATTTTGAGATCGTACACGGGAAAACCGTCTGATGTTGATCAGAATTCATGTCAAACTGTCAGTTGTGTTTTATTAGAAAAAAGAAGAAAAAAAACTTTGTTATATATTTACATAAGAATTAATACTAGTTGTTGCCTTATTGTTATGATAAGAGCTAGAGTTCTTTGTTTTTTTTTTCTAAGTTTTATCTGAATAAAAAGCATGATAAATATTTCCTGTTATTTTGCATAAGCTAAATAATAACCATTTGTCTAAGCAAAATTTATTCATCGCATGAAAAAAAATAATATTAAAACTGTTTAATTTGAAATAATTTTGAGAATCTTTTTCCAAATGAATCCAGTGAACAATTGATTTCGGAAATATTATTCAACTATTCTATTTATATTGATAATCTATTGTTTTAATTAGTTTTGATGATTGATATTATAGAAGATAAATTCGAATGAATTTGATGACAAATTATATTGTTTTTTTTATTTAATTACAAGTTAATAAAAAGAATAATGTTAGTATCGATTCGTATATCATTGTAAGAGTTCTATTAAATTATGTGAGATTATTAAAAATGATTAATTAATATGGTCGTTTTGTAAAACACGATCCAAAAGGAATGTTGAAGTATAAAGGTAGAAATTTGAAACCCTCCTCTCCGACATACTATGACAGGTGCCTCAGCAATGTCTCCCGTCTCCGTCACAGACACCGTAATAGACGTTATTGATATACGATCTAAGATCATATATGAATAATGTCTTGTTATGATATATGAACTACTTCCTTATTACATTTCAGAAGGACTAAGTAAAAGAATAATGAAGAAATATGTTGCAAAATAGGCAGAATAAAGTAACCTCCTGTGATTGACAACAGCAGCTACATCGTATTTCACATTTTAATCATGCTGAAATTGCACTAACAGCTGTTTCTCAGTGAATATCATGTTCTCGATTTTTTTTTTCTAATCTAGAATTATTTGCTTCGTAAACTGATAAAAATATTAGTTTAAATCTTTTTGTTTTTTTGTCTTTTCTATCACTAAAAAAAATTTATACAAGCTATTAATATTAAAATCAAAGAACAAAAATAGTATATGTTTTTTTATAATTTAAATTATGAAAATGAATACCATCTTTTGCCGATACAACTAATGTATTCGAACCAAACATAGTAACACAATAGGGTATGGTATTATACGGTATAGTCGACTTGATTTTTCCTGTTTTAGTAATATGTAATAAACGTCCAGTCTCATAATCAGCTACAAGCCAATCTTCATTAATAAATGGACAACAATGAAATGGTTTATTACGATTCCAAAGAATATCGAGTAGAAGTGACCACATACAATCTAATGTTTCTGAAGATCTTAATTCTAATCGTATTGTTTTATTTGTATTATTTCGAATTATTATAGCAAGATTTTTTTTATTACTAGTTATAATATCAATATATTCATCTGGTTTACATATATTAGGTGATTGCCATTGATTATCAAGTTTTTTTGTTGAAGTAAATTTAATTTTTGTTATAGATGATCCCCATTCATTTGTTGATAAAAAGAGAAATTTATCAGTACATGTACATGATAACCATTTTCGTTTTTCAATAGTTTGTACTTTTTCAATTGACATTGTATTTTCATCAAGAAAGAAAAGATGTTTTTGATGAAGAATAATAAATCTATTTAATGTTACTGACCAACATATATCATAAATGATTCCATGACGCCATGGAATTCGTTTTAATATTTCTAAATCTTGATTAACTAAACATAAATTTGGTGTTTGATGTATTAATAAATTTTGTTTATTATTAGCTAATGCTACATAACTTCCATCTGGATGATTAATTACTTTATAAACAGATGAAAGAATTGATAAATCATATTGATCTTCATTATTTCCTTTAATACTAATTAAATTATGATCTAATATTAATGGTTGAGTAAAAATTTGAATATATTTTTGTTCGATATTATTTATTTCTCGTTCAAGATGATCAATTATTGATGTTAATTCCTTGATATCTTGATGAGTTACTTGTTGTTCATGAATAAGTTCAGTTATTTTTGATTGTAATTGATAAATTTCTTCTTTTTGTTCATCAATTTTGTCGATTACAAGTCGATCAAGTTCTTGACATTTTTCTTTGAAAAATTCATCAATTTTTTTATGTGAATCTACACACCATTGTTCAAGTTTTTCACGATAATCATTAATAATTTTTTGAATATTTATTGTTTGAAGACGATTATCTAATATATTAATATTGTCAATAAGAGGATATAACTGATTATTAAGTAAATTATTATGTTCATTTAAATGAATTATGCAAACATTTTTTTGACAACAATGACATAAAGCACGTGCGAGACGATTGCATGAAGTTATAGCACATATTTGAGACATTGAATGAAAAGTAGAAATTTATATTTGTCTGTTATGAGTTGAAATGAGAAGTAAGAAGAGGATGTTGGTTTTTTTTATTACTCAATGTTCCAACATAGCTGTATTTTTGAAGAACAAATGCAAAATAGCCTTGATATTTGGCAGCTAAATGAAAGACTTTTTAATTTATGGTATAGTGAATAACGTTATCAGAACGAAAGACTTTTGTCAATATTTATTGTGGACAATGTTGATGCAAAGTAATCATCTCATGAAACCTTGTATACCTCCATTAAGTAATAAACTATATCATTCTTTACCAATTGTTCTTATTGGTGATTAACTGTCTGAGTTGATTGTAAATGATAATCAAATATTTATACGAATGAATTTTGATTTATAATTCAGTTACGAAAATTTCAACTCACAAGAACATTAGACTGTTAGAAAAAAAAAACATCTATATGCAAATGTTTATTTTCAAAACAATCTCAATCAATACATTTAAAGTTGTTATGTATTTTCGAAAAACTAAGAATAGATCAAGGTTTTATAAAGAATTAAACTTGAAATTTATGCATTATTCATCATATCGACAATGAAACATATATGTTACTGAACTTCAGTTATGTCAGATCAATCTTAATCAAGTTCTTCTTACTAAAATATACTCTGCCTATAAGTTGAAAAAAATATTTCGTCAATTATTATTCAATTATTCTAAATTTTCTCAGAATATTATTGAACCATATTATAATACTGTACAAAACAAAAAGACCAATAAATCGGTGTTCTTATGTTTTATTTAGTTATTCGACTGTTTGTAATTAGTATATTGAATACTTAATTTTTTCATTCCCTACAGTAATATCTTGATCTTTTAATATTGAATGTTTTGTTCTTGAAGTTTTTCAAACTTATTTTTTATTTTTTAGTGACATATATCAACACGATTAAATCCTTGACATATTTCTCAAAAGTAATTTAATCTTAGTTCAACAAAAAAATTTGATAATCAAATGAATCGATTGTATTTATATTCGATAATTATCATACGTGATTCGATTCGACTTCTTATGTCTAGACACATCGAAAGAAATATTTCGAAAATATCTATAAAAAACATTGTCTCGAATATAATGAAAAAATGTGCTATAGGATGAAAACATGTTTTTTATAAAAAAAAGTACTATAGGATAAAAACATATTTTTCATAAAAAAAAGTACTATACAAGGTGTACTTGAAGGTGAACAACATAAATAACAATTATAATTGTTATTCACACATTAGTTACTATAATTAGAATCAACCAATAAATATTTGTGATAGACGATTAATTAAATATTTATTCATTCAAATAGATCAATAGTTCTAATATTGTATCATTACTTAGCATTAGAAGTTAAAAAATAAGAAAAAAAAAATGATTTTATTCAAATATCTACTCATTTTAATTAGTACACTACAAAAATCGAAGTATATATTATCAATTTTCTATTCATTCATTAATAAGGTATGAAATCCAAAGGATTTTAAATCATGTAATAAATATTGATTGAAACATTGAAAAACAGATTTATTTGATTCAAATTATTATGATTTGTGTGTTTTTATCTTTCATACAATACATCATGCGACCTTCACATTGACTGATCATTTACCTAGATTCAAAAATAAGAAAAAATAACAATACTTTTTCGTTTTATTATAGGCGTGCATTGTTTTTGCTGTTCACATGATCTATCATATGTTCTTATCTTTTTTTTTCTAAATACACTCGATAAAAAAAATAATAATAAATTTATCAATTCCTTGTATTACTCATCATTAACAACGACAAAAATCCTGTATAAATGCACATAAAAATTTGACATTGATTATTATGTACAAAAAATGATGACAAACAGATTTCCTAAAACCATTCGGATTCTTCACTCTCAACATCATAATAAATGTCATTATAATCATTGTCTTCTTCTTCTTCTTCTCCTTCGTCATCTTCATTATCATTTATATAATTACGTCTATTTTTCCATCGTGCTCGTACTCTACTAACAATATGACGTGTTCGAGCTTGTAATGTATAACAAGCACCATTTGATGAATAGTAATAAAATAAAAAGTGTGAAAAAGATCTTACAGCTTTTTCAAATGTTCGATTTGAAAATGGTTGAAATAAAATTGTAAGTAAATGACATATTCGATGAATACAATGTGATAATATCATAACACGACTGACGATAAGATGAGCAGCAGAACATAGTGATCTTATCATTTGTATCCATCCATCAACAACTCTTATAATTTGAATAAGTTTGTCGATAAATATAAATAATTCTCTTGTTATTTTATCAATAAAAATAAAAAGACGAAAAATAAATAATACAAGCAAACTTATTGAACGATATGTTTGATAAAAATTCTTAATAACAAGTCGAGTACGAGAGACTTTTCTGAATTTTCCTTCTGACGAATATAAACGACGTCTTGAATGAAATTTACTAATACAATTAAAAAAGAAAAGTAATATTAAAAATAATTCAGAAGAAGAAGAAAAAATAACCATACGATTTAAAAAGAACAAGAAGTGAATTATGATGAAATGATTTATAATGATGTTGTTTTTTAGATTTTGATACAGGCATATTTTACATGTATATATTTTTTTTTTAAGTGTCAACGATTTGACGATTGATTATTTACATTTTACATGTTTGTTTTAGAATGAGAGAAAACATCAAAGAATAACAAGACATAGATAGCATGAATGAATCAGTATAGGTAGAATAACCTGTAGACGTGAATATACGTAAAAACTTTGTTTTTCTTTTTCATGATGGGAGTATTTCTTCGATGAGAAGAGGAAAGCGGGGGCGTACTATATGGACGAATGTATGCACGTTTTCAATCTTATGCTCGAAGAATATTTATATTGAATGTATGGAATGGAATCTATTAAAAGATTAAGTTGTTTTTCTCTTATCGAATCAAATTATTAAATGTTCGATGAATAATATCGATGACTAGAAAAGAACAAATTTTCAATTAGCTTTTCTTTTTGATAGTACTATGTTGTTAGTTACAAATATGAAAGAAAAAAAAAGTACAAGTGAAGATTAGAGAATATAGAGACATTACTAGTTAATTGTGTCATTACACTTATGAATCTATGTAAGGATTGATTGATATCATATTTCTTTTGTTTTGATAGTAAAAATAGCAACGATCATCCAAATAAAAAGAGCAATATAATACAAGACAGGTTGCAAGTAATTGTACGATAAAAAAATTAAATACCTCTATTGCATTTCAATCAAATCTATTGACTTTTATGTCAATGATTGAGGACCATTCAAGGTTTTTTTTTCATAAGATAATGATAAACAAACGCTGCTTTGAGCTATCACTATTTGATTTTGATAAGAAAATTTCACCTTGTCTGAATTCTGAGTAAATATTTTGTATGCTGTGAGTTCTAAAAGATACTTATAAAAAGAAAATCCATAGAAATTCACCATATTCTATCGAAATAGGCTAATTTTTTCCCTAATTATAGATGAATACTTCTGGTTTAATTCATGTTAGATAAAATAATATATCCTATGATTCTAAATTGTTATGCATATACGCAATTTTTTTTAAAAGCTTACATCAGGCTAGGTTTCCTTATAGAAGCCAATAATAATAGTTCAAAGCAGTTTTATTCATATTTCTCTTATGAAAGCAAAAAAACTTTGAATGGTTCTCTATCATCAATATAAAAATCAGCCCATTTGATTGAAACGGAGTGGAGATATTCAATTTTTTTATCGTATAGCGTACTCGTGGTCCATTCTGTATAAACCATCTATCTAAATGATGCATAGTTGCATGAATTGATGAGATAATTTAAAAAAGGAAACAATGATAAATGTGTATGTTTGTAAAAAATTTCAAATTCCCAAAGAATAAGGAAATTCATTTGTGGATAAACGTTAGAAACGACGTCGTATTCTAATATTTGGTAGACAATTCAAAAAAATCAATTTTCATTCCCGCTATACCTTTGCATTAGTCAATAGCAATAAAACATTAGCTGAACGACTAAACCAAATGAATTTGTTTGGTAAATATCAAATGATGAGTAATACAATTTAAAAAACAAATACTGATATTAAACTTGATTTTCAATATCTAATCATAGCACATGTATTTTTTTTACGCGCCAATTCCGATAAAAAAAAATTATTCTTACTTTTCCATTTGTGCAATATTTTTTTATTTTTGTTTAACTATACGAACTATAATTATTTACTCATAATACGAGACTATCATACTTTCTATGGCAAATAAGAAACAATCAAATGGTATTTTCATATTATCGATTGATTAAAAATTTGATACTATAGTAATTTCATAGACCTCAAAACATCATTAGAACAAATAAGTCATATAAATTGGTTAGACGGCATTCACAAACTACCAAATAATGTAGATAAAGGTTAGAATCAAAGATTAGAAGTTCTATGAAAAGTTTTTTTTCCTTTTTGTCATTGTATAGAGTTACTTGATCAATGCTCTAATCTAATTCAAAAATTTAGTAAGGCTATTTTCATTCTATTAGTTCGTTTCACTACTCGAAATTTATATCAGTTAACAGTGATGAATCATTACCAAAAACTACAATAAAATCTAAATCTAAATCTAAATCACAAAAACAACAAGGTCATAACTTATTATAAATCTATCGATTTATCTATACATATTCAATAATTTGTTTAGTGTCGAAAATTAAAAAATCCAAAATAAAAGTCACAAGTGAGATTTATTGAATTTTGAAAATTACAAACAATAAATATTATTTATTAATTAGAAATAAAACAATCAAAATTAAATCCTATTTCTCAAAAAATCAAAACAAAAACCAAAATATTAAAGAAAACTACTCAACCATTCCATTCTAATAATATTTCACCAACCACTGGTTATCCTTGTTATCCATCGTAGGTTTCATATTCAAAAATATTATTCATAAAAATATTTCGATAGAGCATTTCCTTGTTTTCGATCATGTGGTCCAATAAATTGTCCTGAGAATAAATTACCTATGCCTCGAGATCTTTGGTATCGTATTGTTTATTCACAAGTACTCGAACAACAACTAGGTAAGAAATTATCGAAAAACGAAAAGTTATTTTGTTTTTTTGTTTAAAAAATAATTTAGGAAGTGGAGAAGCATCTATTCGTCAAAGTCGATCAAGTTTTTATTCAATTATAAGATTTTTTCTTCTTATATTATAATTTTATAATCTTAGACTCTCATTTACAATCTTCATCAAAAAGAAAACATAAAGAAGGTAGTGTTTGCATAACATGAAACAAAATAAAATAATCTATTTTTGATTCTAAGATGAATCTATAACAGATAAATCATCATATAATAATTTACATAGTATGTCAAAGCAATTTTCTTATTTATATTAGATCTTAAAGAAATTTTTCTTTCAATTAAGAAAATAAATCTAATAGTAATAATTCACGTCGACAACAAACAATGAATGCAGCATTATCATCGACATCAATTAAGGTTATTAAGCTAGATGGTAAATGTCATTTTTTCTGGAATTTTTCAACACTCAAGAAAAAAATATTTTCATAGCTTCATTAATACTCGATGATCATGTACATAAATCGGGTATAAAAATCTATTTAACAAATTCTTAAATATTTATACAAGAAAATTTTTTGTTAGAATTCAATCAAGATACATCACCATTCGGTAATAAAACTTCGAATTAAGAATTACAAATTGTAAATTTTTTTGTCTTGTTTTTATTTAGTACCATCAAATTCTTATAAACCATTTCCAAGTATGAGATTTATTGCTTAAGTCCCCCCCCTCCCCTTCAAAAAGTCAATTTTCGTCAAAAGCATCGAAATTACTATTGTATAAAAGAGTACTTTTACAATTAGAATGTCATCATTTTCAGACATTGAACTTTTCTCCCAGTAAAAAGGAAGAATTCAAGAAAAAAGGACTCTATCATGCCTTGAATCCTAACATGCTCTTTGAAACAAAAAGAAAATTAAGTATATAGAATGAAGACCCACAGAGAATATTAGATTGCCAAATGAGCTATTTTTTGGCCTTATTTGTTGTATACTTTATGGTAGAGAGCTGAAAACTCTACCATAGCTTCTTCACTACAGTTCCAACATATCGTGAAAATTTCATATGCGATTTGAATGTACATGACTCGAGATCGATTTTTGAAGGATGCGAGGTGCCTCAACAAATTGCATACTACATAATTTAATATTTAGTGGATAAACTTGAATATGTTGCTGAAACTTTACCATTACAAATAGAAAATAAACACAGTTATTCTAGTAAGTAGATATTATTTGTAAACTTAAAATTATATTTTTATTCTACAAGATCTTATGTATCGAAAAACTGAATCCAAAGAAAATCGTATGACATAAACAATTAATTTTACTATATTCCTTTTTTTGTGTTTAACGTATAGTAGAAACAATTTTATGGAATACAAATGTAAATAAAACAGTATCATTGACTCAATCAGCTCATGCAGAACTTATCAATCATCCTAGTACGATTATATTGACTAATGAAATAATTGTCTATCTGGTTTTTTAATTTAGAAATTCATCGTGGCATATCAGCGGATGCTACACTTGAACGTAAAAATGATTTTGATATTATTTTTAAAAAAGAAAAAAATTTGTTAAAAGAACTTATTCCTATTGCAAGTGCTCCATCAGCATCAATTGTTTTAAATAATCAATCAAACTTCGAAGAAATGACTAGTAAATTTTTTTTTAATTTTTCTTCTTTTTTAATTTAAAATAAAAAAACTCTTCTAGCTTCACCTATTCAATTCGAACAATCAAAAGTATCTATTGAACAATCAACGAATAAAATCATAAAAGATAATTCTCATATTAATTCATCAATGATATTTGAACATCCATTAACTAATCAACTGTATGAATGTATGAAAAATTTATTTAAATTTTAAAAGATTGATTTTGTTTTTTTTTCTTTCATAGATTATAATCTTGAAGATATTCCTCGTCTTCAATTATTCCAACAATTAAATCGTAGATTAACGCATATTCGTCAAACATTAAAAACCATGTCATCGAATGATATTGAAATCAAATTAAAATATAGACGTGATGGTAAAAATTTTTTTAAAAATCATAGATTATTGAATTTAAATTTTATTCAAAAAAAAAATAGTACTGATTAAAAAACGTCAAACACCTATTCAATCATTAACTAAAGATGAACGAATAGCAATGGCTGAACGTAAGAACTTATCGTACTTTATTGAAATGAACAATACTGTTTGAGTATCGTTTTAGTTGAACTTAATGTTTACGAATATAATAAAGGCAAAAAAGAAAAAAACTGATTTCTTTTTTTTTCGAATATTAATTTCTATTATGAATTATCATAGCACTTGACGAATCTTCATCAAAATATTTTCCCGTAAATAATAATGATCAATTAGAAAATGAACAATTATCACCGATTCCTCCTGCTTTGCTATCGTATGATACAATTTTACCTGTAGAAAAAAATGCTATTATATCTGAAACATCGATGTCACCATCCATGTCGACATTTAATACAGGTAAATAAATAAATATTAAATAATTTAATTATGAAAAAGAGAAATCAAATTTTTGAAGTTCGACCATCAGCAATCAGTCAATCAACTGTACTTCTTTCAACAACAACTCAATTTAGTGAAAAACCAGGTTCTTTTTTTATTCGACTTTTCTTGTTTAAAAATCTTTTATTATTTAATAGAAAAAGTTATTTCATGGAATCATCCACTATTATCAAATCTAATGAATAGTCTGTTGATTTCAATTTTATCATATTATTTTTAATCTTTTTTTATCTTTAGTGTTTGAACCAATGATACCATTATGTAAAGCTCAAATTCATAAACAATGTAAGTATGTTGAAAACAGATGTATGTAATAAATATTATGAATAGTGGCTCGACGATATGAACATATATGTAAAAAAGCTAAAGAACTTAGTAAAACACAATTACAAGCACGTAAGAATTATAAATAATGTATTCAATATAGGTTTATTATTTGATTTATTTATAGAAATCAATTCGAAATTTAAAGGTTAGTATTAAATCTGCATATTGGAAAATTTTCATTGATTTTTAATTCAATAAATTTTGACAAACATTTTATTTAAAAAAAGTTCTAGTTATCTTCATGTTTGTTGTAAGAAAAAAGTGTTTAAGATTCAAAACGTATACCCTTTACTCAAAGAATAAATATGTAGATCGTTTCATCAATTACTAAAATATCGAATATATTAAAAATAAACAGAAAAAAGTCAAGTTCAAGTGTATACTTCTCTATTCTATCGAATTAAATTCCACTTTGCTGTTAAATTTTTCTTAGAAAATCAAAAAATTCGTTATGATCATGAAAAAATTTTGTATAAAACCAATAAACTGAATCTCAAGTGTCATTGAAAATGGATAAGATTCCCCCTAATCCAGAACGAAGCGCATTGTATGATCATAGAATGTCATTCCGAGTGAATATCACTTTTTTTTCTAACGAGGGGAATTCTCCAACTGATAAATCGCTTTGACATCGAGACTATGTGCATAATGTAGACCCAAATGATCTATGAATCCCTTGAAAAAAGTTCGTACCGTTATCTTATTCCTTCGGAAATAATGCACTTTTGCGGTATTTTCTAGATGGAATGTCTCAGTAATAGACAAACTAACTTATGAATTTCGATTTGAAACTTTGCACAGGAATAGACCTTAATGAGAATAATTTATTGTGAAAGTATCAGGTCTTTTAATGTGCTCTTATTCTGAAATAAGAACATAAGATCTGTTGGTATAATATGAGAAATATAGCAGACACACTTTTACCATAGCCGTATCTTAGGATGGGAATAACGAAAAGATCTGAAATATTCACAATGAACTATTCTCATTAAGATCTGTTTCTATACAAAGTTTCAAGTCGAAATTCAAGAATCAATGTTTCTGGTGTTCCTGAGTGAGACCACGACACATCATAAAAGTGCAATATCTCTATAGTAATAAGCTTAAGCCACAAATCCTTTTCAGACTATTCATAGCTCATTTGAATCTACATAATGCACATAGTTTCGACTGAGAAGCGATTTATAAATTGGAGGACTTCTGTCGTAAGCTATTAATATCTTTCTATAAACGAAAGAACTTTAGGTAAAGTGAGCATTTTCTAGATCATTGTTAATCCTCTTATGAATTATTATATGACATTAAGATTTATTATTACATATAAAGAAAGACTGATATGAGTTTATTTTTGTTGTGAATAGTTTCCAAAAAAAACGGAATAAAATAATATCAAAGCGAATATTGACTATTGATTAAAGTTCTTTTTTTTGAATTTTTCTACTATTGTATAGATTCACATAATTCTTAAAGTTATAATTATGAATATATTTTTAGCATTAGAACAAAGTAAAAAAATTCTTCAACCAAACAAAGATGAATGTTTACGAATAGCAGAATGTAAGTAAAAATAAATTTTGATCGTTAAAACTTTCAAATATCTATTTAGTGGAATTATGTCTCTTCGAATTGGAAAAAGGTAAATGAATTTCTGTTTTTGTTTTATCTCATGAAGTTCTTTCTGTTTTCTTATCTTAGAACAAATTCAACGAGATCAAATCGACTAATGGAATACAAGAAAAACAAGTGCTTTTTTTTCTTTTTTGTTTATTAATGATTTTTTTTCTTGTGATTAACCTTTTTTTTCTTGTTAACAAAAACAAGCGAAACAAAAGTTTGCAAATTTCTTTTCTTTTTAATGCTTATGATGTTGCAATAGCAGTTGATTGTTCGCCTGGTACAGTTCTAATAATATCTGAATCACCTGGATCAGTTATAGCAAGAATACCAACACGAAAATATTTGCCACAAGCTGTACCTAATTCAATATTATTGCCGCTATAATGATGTACACCAGTTTTAGCTAACATAGCATAATATTCAATTTCACTTTTTCTATTACAAAAAAAACAAAATAAAAATATTTATCTAAATAGAATCAAAAAATAAATCTAACCTGATTTGTGGTGTATTAGCTGAAACAAGAATTAATTTAGCTTGTCCATTTCGTAATGCTTTCAATGTTTGACGATAACCCAGTACATATTTACCAGATTTCATGACAAGTTGAAGACGTTGATTAATTGTCTCAGCTTGTTTTTTCTATAGAAAAAAAGAAAAAGATCAACTAAAATCTTAAAATAAATGATTCAATTTTTTGACATACTCCTGCAACTTTTTTTGGCGGTGCCATTGTCTAAAATAATTAAAACAAAAAAATCAAATGTATAACACAGTTAGAAAAATAAAAAAGAAGTATAAAATAAAAACAATAATCCATATGACATGGTAATTTCATGTCGCCATTATGATTCGATAAATATCTCGAATAGGTTTGACCTCCATTAATATATTCATTTATAAGCGCTACTATCACTGTTAAAGATTTCTATGTATTGATCAATAACAGTTGTATGTAATTTTTCTTGTTGCTATTATTATTTTTGAAAGAAAAAAACATTTTTTAGATGCGTTCGTCAACTGGACCATCGAAATTATTTGTTGGTGATATTGGTAATAATCGTAAATCTGATTTAAATCGTTTATTCAGTAAATACGGTGAAATTTCAACAATTTATATTGATGATAATAAACGTTTTGCTTTTGTGGAATTTACATCATCAAATGATGCACAACGTGCATTACGACATACAAATACTAAAACAGTGAATGGTTCAAGACTTCGTGTTGAATATGCTAAATCGGATAAAATAACACGCGATCATCGACGTCCATTGTCACGTGAACGTTCACCAGCATCACATTTATATAATCATTTACAGGTTTGATTAAAAAAAAAAACAAGAAAAAAAAACTTTTCACAACTGAATAATAAATTCTTTTTTTTTTCTTTTTTTGTTTTAAAAAATAAAAGGTAACTGCAAATCGTTTACCATCCATGCAAGCTGTTCGTCACAGTTATTATCAATATCATCCATCTACAATCATGACTAATCCAACTATATCTCGTGGTCGTTCATTAACACCACCATCATATAAACAAAATGCTCGTTTATCATCAATGAATCATTTACGAACACAAGATTTCTATCCACCATATTATCCTCATCATTCAACTATTTATCCAGATTCAACTTATTATCGAACATACGGAGATCCATATTTAATGCAACGATTACCACCACCGGCTTTTCTTCCTCCAACATCATCATCATCACCACCACCACCACCACCATTACCATCATCGTCATCATCATCGTCGCATGCCTATCGAAATATGTATTCATCATCTGGTTTTCATCGTTATCCACAAGTAACATCTCATAAACGAACACGACGAAGTCAAAGTCATAGTCGTAGTGGACGCAGGTACGAAGTTCGTCTATTGTTGCCTCTCTCTTTTCTGTCATCGATAATAATCACGATCGATTTATACATCGTACTGCTAATTGCACTATATAACTTCTTTTCTCATGTCTATTATATTATCATCGTTTCGTCTCTCGTTGAAGAAAAATCTAATTTCGACGATCGACTAAATTTCTTTCTCTTTCGAAACAGAAACAGTTCTTCGATAAAAAAAAATAATGGATGATATATAAAGGTTGGTTTTGGCCGATCTACTCTCTCTCTCTCTCTCTCTATATATATATATATATACGTTTTTTTTCTTCTTATAAATAACATATATGAGAAAATTAAATGAATGATGATGTTCATTTCTGTTTTTAGAAGTTCAACATCACGAAAAAATCGATCTAGTCGTGAAAGAAAACGTAAACGACGAACTTCATCATCATCATCGTCTTCTTCTCAAGAACAACGTGAACGTGGTCCACAAACACCACCATCATCAAATCGGACTAAAAAACGGTTAGAATTCTTATTGATTTATTGTTTTCTTTTGAATGATTATATTTATTTTTTTTTTGTTTTAAAGATCCCGCTCAGGTTCAGATGCGATTGCTTCGACATCAGAACAAAAATCAGCTTCATCTTCTTCCTCTTCTGAAGATGAAACTTCTGAAGATAAACAATCAAATTTTAGAAGGTAAACTAAATAAGCAGAGTTTTTTTTTTTATTTAGTTTTTTTTCTCCTAAAGATTTCAAGATAATGATTCAAATCAAAAACATTCTAAAAGAAAAACAAGAGGATAAATAATTTTTAAATTAATTATATTACAATATTTGTTTATTAGTTATATTTCTCTTTATAAATGTACTTATGCTCTTCTTTTTTTTTTCCTACAAAAGATTCATTGTATGATGGTACCAATTTTTTCTGCTGTTTTTTTTCTTTTTCTATGATTTTTTTTGTAATGTATTGTGTGATCACATATGTTATATTACTGCAATCATCTTTGGTTGCCATTTTTGTTGCTGTTCTTGCTTAAAATAAAATGAATTGTGAGCACACGCACACACAATTTTTCTGACAACTATAACCACTAAAGGTAAATACAATACGTTTAATATTTTGGTATATCATGTGTAAATGTTGCATCAAGTTTTTTGACTATTTTTTCATGTATTTAAATGTATTGGGAAAAGATTGTGAAGTAATGTATTAGAATTTGATTTTTGTGATGTTTCAGAATATATGCTTAGAATTATTCTATGACTTTTGTGCTATAAGTAAATCTAGATAAGATTCAAAAAAAAATTTCTGCAAAGGCAAAATTTTTTTTTTTTTTGAAGATGGAGAATTATTTTGCGTTCAAAAGGTGAAAATCGAAAAAAATAACCATTTTTCTTGTGATAGACGTTATAAAAGTCTTCACTACACATCAACAACTTGCAAGAAATTTTATTTCAGTATGTCGATTTGTAGAGAATTATTTTCTGTATCTTCTAATATGTGTGATAAAATCTTGTGGCATGTTTCGAACAAGTTTTATTTATGATTTTGTGTAAAAAAATTTGTTAAATCTTCTCAAAACTCATAGAAAAAATTCGAAGCATGCACTCTGAAAGAGCACAAAATTCTGATTGTAATACACTACTTTTTATTCTTTTTCAATGCATTTATATATGTGAAAAATAGTCAAATATTTTATCTAGAAACTTTCGGTCCACACCTTGATGTTTCTTGTACTTATTGTCATTGAATTAAATTGCATATGTGTCTAATCAATCTTATGAAAAAGGTAGAAGGCTATAAATAAAAGTGTGGGTGTTGGTAAAAAGATGATTCACACTCACACTTACACGCTTAATTAGCTCAGTCAATGACGTTTTATATTAGCGATATTTAACACAATAACAATCAATGTGATGAGCTAGAAGAATAATCATGCAGTTACTCTTGGTGATGATGTTTATTGAACTAATTCACACTGAAGTCGCACCTATATCATTATGATCGTACTCTCTTATATGATTGCCATATAACACAAGAGAAAGTGAAATACATATTGTCAAGACCAACATATCAGAAGAAATCATGCAGAGCAGAGAAATAGACTATAATGGTTATTTACCTTATGCAATTAATACCATTCAAAATAATAAATCGTGCTGTGAAAATTATGAAATAATGTAAAATTGTTATTTGTATAGTATATACAGTGCCGATCTAATTGACAATAGAAAAGAAAAAAAACTTCACGCGATACAAAATTTTATATTTAATTGAGATGACATAATAGACCTCATGAAAAGCCAAATACGCAATAATATTTGTGTTTTTTTCGTTATCTGTCTACTGACGTTGTTGAATAGTTAGAATGAACAAAAAAATCGACACCGTTGAGTTCGTTCGATATATATATTTTTTTAGCATTCTTATCATCACTTCAATCAAGTGTCAAGGTTCGTATCAAATGAAGTTTTTTTCTTTTCCTATTTATACTCAGATCAGCAGTGCACATTTATACAATTACGTAGTTGGTGCAACGGTGCATATCTTATAGAAGTACAGTAAAATGTAATAAGAAAAACGACAAAAATTTTAAGTTATTAGAAATAAAATCAAGCAATAATAAACCAAAGAGAAATGTACTCAAATTAACTATTGTTGTCATCGATAAGATACGATGAATATGTATTTTTTAATAAATAAACGTCAGATAACAATCAGACTATTTGGAATAAAACCAAAAGTTAGTGGAAGAATCGACACTCACACACACCAATCGAATTGAATATTTAAGTTAATCAAATTAGTTATACTTATCGTTGAATATGATTTTAATACAATAGGTCAAGTAACAAGTATTTGACTTACGAATAGTTAATACTCATGCTAACATGTATTCTAAAACTTTTGCATTCATTCATCATTGTACCTTGTAAACTGACTACTTACTGAATAAGAAGTGACGTACATTTTACTAGATAAACTATAAAGTATTCATTGTCTTTGTTTATTAAGTTTTTTGATGGTAATAAAAACGAATTATTTCACCTCTCTAGGTTAAATGAATTTATGATATAGATTTAAGAGACGCTTTTAGAACTACAAGCGATATATTACGTAGAAAAATTTTTGTTAACTTTCATTTCTTTGTTCAAAATAGAAAAGTGAATGACTTATTCAGATAAATGAAGAATATTTGTAATATTCAAGTTTTGAGCAGACTGTGTATATATTAAAATATGTAGTAG